AGAAACACCTGCCATGAGGTTCCTGAGATCGGTGATAGGCGCTGTATGAGGGCCAGGACAAGTGAGGTCGCACGGAGACGTCTTGAAACAGAAAATATTCTTGAAGAAAATAGAGAGTACCAAAAAAAAAAACTGAAAGACGTCTGGTAAGGATGTCACACGAACGTTTCCCAAGGCAAGCATAATAATACATTCCTGTGGAAAAGGTGATCTAGAACAACCAAGAAAGAAATGGAAGAACAGTTCAATAAGCTTCGCAACATGTATTGGACCTGTGAAAATATGCAGTGTAATATCTGTGACGACAGCAGTTCAGTCAATAGATTCTTATCCGCAACGTATTTTATTGCCACGTGTATGAGTGACTTCATATGGGGGTTGGTTTGGTAACTGGATTTAGTGGGCATTTACACTCGTAATGGCAAATAACTACGACAGTCTGAGTTACACACCCCAAAGATCGCTCTAACCACAGCACACATAAAGTCTTCTCGGTTGACTAATACTTCACCAGTCGTTGCCTGGTGACGAACCCCAACAATGTCCTCTGCTTCCGCGCTCAAGTCCTTACTGGCTGGCGACTGCTTCACAACTAACTCCTTGCTCCCACTACCGACTCTCGGTCGGTCCGTCAAATTACTGCTGGTTTCGCCAGCACACCAACATTTGTGTTCTCTCCTAAACATGTACGTGTTTCGAAATGGAGCCTCCTCCTTCTTGTACCGGAACAGAGGGTCGGTATTTTTATACATGCCCTAAGTTTTATCTCCTAAACATGTACGTATTCCGAAATGGGGCCTCCTCTTTGACGGAGCAGGGGGTCGGTCTTCTTATGTAGGCCCTAAGTTTGTTGCACCGTAGTTTCGGCACGAGTATATCCGCGCTGTCCCGGCATCGAGGTCTCTGTGGACTCTGTGCATCCTTTGTCACTGCGCTATACTAACATATATACAAGGTATACAGAGGTTTTCTGTCAATGCAGGCATGTGCCGCAGGTTATGCCTTAAGTTATGTCTATAACACATCGGTACGGACTACACAGAAAACATCGTTCCTAATTGTCGTAGCTCAACTGCTGCCGTGAGGACATGTTTGCAAAGCCGTTATTCAGTAACGGCTGCTGTATATTTGCTTATCTCGTGGTCGTTGCCCAGCAACGGATCTACATGCCACAATACGCAAAGAATTTTATTTACAGATGTAAAATAACAAGGAAATCATTTGACATGATATCACCGTGGGAAACAATAAGCGTATAAACGAAACAAAACGCAGTGCAAAATGTGACTCTTTCACCGAACAGATATCCAGTGCAAGAGGCAGCGGAGACACCACCGCTGAGGTAAACACTAACGTCTTGTGTCCTCATACATTCAGATCCTATGCGCACGGTGGCGCCTTGTTCGCAAGTCGGCGTCCCTTGATAAGATCCTCTTGGGTCTGTCTGCATCTGGTAAAGTATGCGCGAAGGAAATCGAAATGAGAGCCACCCTCAAATTCTGGTCAAGGGGAAGCCTGACGCACATTCCTTCGTAGCTGTGCAAACAGATACATAAACCCTTTTTCCTAACCGTCAGCTAGTCGCACACCAAACGGTTAGGTACAGAGTGAGTTATGTGACTATGCCATAAGCAGGCATGTTTTCTCGGCCGGCAGGAAGCAATGTGAAATTAGCTGGAGCTTAACTCGAAAACACAACACACGAAACAAATGTCCTTATCGGAAGAGGGAAACGGTGTTTACAGAGGACACACTGTGTGTGTTCGCGTTTAATTAATTAACTAAGAAACAAGCCACGAAGACGTATGGGGAATGGAGGTTAGCTCCACCATTCTTAACCTCTGCACTACATGAGAGCTGTTAGCTTCATGCCCCGTTGCTCTCCCCAGAAAGAAAGAGCCGCTGGTACCCATTATACAGGACTCTAGGTGGGCCAGTCTGCGAAGAAGGTAATATCTTGCTAGTGCTGGGAATCGAACCTCAATTCCACGGTCGTTGAACCCGTAGCCTTGTCACTATAAGAACGGAGCTACTGAAGTCACAACATCTGTTATACAAACTTCCGTGTCTCTGTCGCCTTCTGCTTCCCTCCCCCCTACCCGTATTCATTATCCACCTTCTCATTTGTGTGTCCTGTCTCTCTCCTCTGCATCAAAACAGTTCGGGCAAATATCGCTCAAAACATATCACGGCTGATCAACAATGAAACACGAGCACTCAACGTTTTCCCTTTGGAGCGCACGTCGTAAGCGTGAACGTACACGCACACAGTCTCGTGTAATTACAGAACATGTGTTATCGGTTGATGCGCCGAGGCCGTTTATAGTTTCACGCCATCTCAGAGACAACGAGAGCAGCTAAACCTCTTTTGCGAGCGCAGCCACACACACAATGGTCCAAACTGACAGGAGCTGCCTCCTTCGGGAATAAAAAGTGGGCCCACAACTTTTATCACCTCAAATATCTCCCTTATTTTTGGCGGTAGCAAAAAACGTTTCCTACAGTACTAAAGAGCACATAATATGAGGGGGACAAATTTGTTGTACGTGGAGGCATTATGGAAATATCAAGGTCACCTCGGCTTCTGTAAATTGCAATGTTGAACTTCTTCATAGCTAGCGCTGTAGAGACGGCAGAGGCGAACACAGTGACCAACTGTACTGTGCGCGGTCATTCAAGATCACAAAAGACAAAACATGAAAACTCAGAAATCTGTTGATTTCTCGTACTGTGATTTATTGTTAAGCTTAATTTACAGAATTTTGCTACGGAAGCTCGAAGTGATAACCCTTGGCACGAACACAATGTTCTCGGAAGGCTCACAGTAGTGCTTGCTATATTCATGCGTTACGTCATGTTCCCCGGTGTGGTAGGTCCATCTCTGTAGACGATATCTTAAGCGGATCCAGACTTGTTGCGTATCCCCGTATTCCATCAGTGTGGACGGTACCCCGTATCATCCTTCCGTTGCAAAATCTTGATACGGTGATACGCAACGGACTGTTCGCTCACTTGGCGGTCTTTCCCGTCGCATCAAAGGGACGACACGCGTTGCAGTGGTGCCAGTCTGGACGTGCACGCGTTGCATCCCCACTGGCATAGATCGGTGATATCCACAAACGCCGTGATTTCTTTCTTCTTCCCTTTATAGCATAGCGAAGATAGATGCACGCGGCCGTTGATACCTTCAGGTTAGGTGTAGTCATTGCTATTGAAATCTGGCTCGAAACTGAGGTTCAGCTCGTCATTTCTTCGTTGCCTTCTTGAGAGGAGAAGTTTCGTCGCGTTGCATCGGTTGATACGCAACGGAGATACGCAACAAGTCTGGACCTGGCTTTATAACTTGCCCCAGAGGAAGAAATCTATTGGCGCGAGATCTGGTGAACGAGGTGGCCATGAAATATTTCCGCTACGTGCTATCCATCGACGTAGAAAACAGTTATCAAGGACTTCCCCTGCTACACGCACTGAACATCCGTCGTGCTGGTACCATGAAGTTGGACCGTAACTTCTTTCAGTGTTTCTGGTAATGTGTCCATCAAAAATTGGGCATACTTTCTTCTGTTGAATGTCCCATCAATGCATTTGTTCCCAAAGTTCCATACCAAACGTTTAGTGACCACTGTGTTTTACCTGTGACGACGCGGATTCTGTGTTGCCCAATAGTAGTGAACGTGTAACTCAACATTTCAGTGATTATTAATGGTGCTTCATCAGTAAAGAGCAATGTAGCAGAGGGGGAAACGTTAGCATATAGATTTTGTTGCACCAACTGGCAAGACTTGAACCTGTACCGTGTAATTCTTGATTAAGTTTCGTGTGACGGAATTTGTGTTGATGCAAACAAACCGCTACGACTTGTTTCAGATCCAAGATCAACATCCGTGGAGCTAACAGGGGGACTAACGGCTACTGAAGAGAGACCAGCTGCTGCATTTGCTTCGTGTGACACTTTCTCATGCCGCTGACTTTTACAAGTACCTACATTTCTTGTAGTTCTCAACATCTCAAACGGACGACGCGAAGGATGGTGACCAGCTGGATCACGTTCGGCGTACAACATCACAGCTCTTTCTGAATTATTTTTTACTTCTCTTCACTGCCTTACTTTGGGCAGTGACCACCATGCTTGAGGAACGGACGGACACTGTCTACAGAGACCACTGTCATGATGTGAATTCACCACAGACCGAGAGAAAGTGAACAGAACTGTATAATCTGTAATACAGTATGTCACTGAATTAGTCAGTCTCTACACTGAGAACTATGTAAAAACAGGGTGCGCCATTTGCAAAATCCAAAACGTCTCCACGTAAAAAAGAAAATGTCCTCTGATTTTACGTACTCTTCTTCAAAAATTGTATACGTATATATAAATAAAAGAGGTAAAGCTATTCCTCTAACAGGCCGTGGATGTCAATACGGTTATGAGACGTCGAGGCTCCCAAATTTTCTGTAGACAATAGGCTCACAGATGGCGGTGAGGTTGTCAGCCTTATACGCCCGGCCGCCCTTTACCCCCCCCCCCAGGAAGATTCCTGGTACCCATTTCTCTTAAAGGCTGAGTCTAGCCCAGGGCCATAGTGCGGCTGGAAGGATTAGGTCAATTGAAAAAAAAATCCACCTCATGGGGACTCGAACCCGCGACCTTCCAGCTTGTAGCATAGTGCCTCAATCAACCACGCTACCGCGTGTCCCCTTATACATATAGCAATAAAAGTAACGGACACATTTCAGACTGCAAAAGTTATCGCCTCACGCACACGGGCTGAGTTATAACTGTAGAAGGTGTGTTACCAAGCTAGGCGTCGAGGCCGTACAACTGATCACGCCACCTATCAGACACTTGCTGTAGCTACGTGGTCTGTGAGCGCAAGAAAACACACACATTAAGGAAACCCACTTTAAGCATACAACAATGGGTTAATGTGTCACGTAAAGGTGACATGTCACAACTTTAACATGCAGTTGCGGACAGGGGCTCAGGGCTGGATACTTACCCGTAAAGCAGAGCAGCCCCCGCAATCCCGCCCCCACACTGTGCTGTCACGAACATGAGCGCTCTTAGGGGAGTGATGTTCCGCGTCACGGCCATGGCGGCCGTCACAGCAGGGTTCACGTGGGCGCCTGCGCAGAAAGGACGCCAAGGTTAACAAACAAACAGAACAAGATCTTCAGTGATATCGAAGTGAAATCTTGCAACATTATTAACACTACGAATTAGTGTAGTCCCTTATATATTTTGGCTCGAAATTTCATGCCGCTTCGAAAATCTGGATGACTGCGTGTTTATCCTGCCACTTCCCGTGATTTGGTGGTACTACCCAACAGCAGACTGGAACTGTGTCAGGCACACAGGGAAAAACAAGACTGGAAAGCGTACACCCATAACGAAGTGCACAAAATTGCTAACGTCGTTATGTTAAGAGCAGAAACAATGATATGCAAATTATCGAGTCTCCCATATCGAATTTCAACGAACATCTGTGACAGGGCTGGTGGGATATTTGGGAAGTCGTATTTATGTCTCTACATGTAATCAGCCTTATTGGGGATTGGTTTGGATGAAATTCGGGATATGAATGAATGAATGTATAAGGGGTGGGCCTTCTCGGCCCTTTCACCGCGACCTCAGTGGTCTATTGTGCTTCCCCTTTAAACTCGGGATAACGCAATATCGAATAGTGGAAGAGCCCATTGTCGGATTACAACAGGATTCGCCAAAGCGGTTTATGAGACACGTGCAAATATTCATGTACTCGTATTACGTTGCGTATGGGTCCCGTGTCGTAGATTTTCGGCACGTAAAAAATCCTCATGTCTCTAGGAGACCTCTGGGCAAAATTAGGCAACAATTTCCCGACCAAATAGTTTCCAATGCCTCTGGTAGATGGGGGAAATATCAGGTACCGACGGCCGATCTCGTTGGCTGAACGGGGCTGATAGCACGCACCAGTACGGGAACATCTTCATTTTCTGCATCCTACTGTGTATCATGTACTAAAGGTATACTTTAAAGTCGTCAACTCAATAATTGATAATAAAACACATAATAAAATAAGACGTAAAAGTTTGTGACGATGGTATATTAATAAAATTGTGTTCTGGATATTATCCATCGTCTTTTCTATTGTTGTTGTTGTTGTTGTTGTTGTTGTTGTTGTTGTTCTTCTTCTTCTTCTTATTATCATTATTATTATTATTATTTAAAACACAACGTTTCGAGACTGGATTCTGTCTCCGTTTTCAGGTGGAATCTACTCAGTTGCGCCCAATCGAGAGTTAGTCTCTATCTCAGAACCTACTAGCTCTATCGATAGCGCCCAACTGAGTAGATTCCATCTGAAGAAGGAGACAGAATCCAGTCTCCGAAACGTTACGTGTTTTAAATAAAAGCAGGACGATGGATCAATATCCAGAAACACAATAGTTTATTAACGATATTTAATATTTAATACTCAGCATGTTTTACATTCATCCCACTATATGTTTCGAGCTGCAAGATCATCAGGTGGTGACACGAAACCTGAAGACGGAATAGTGGAGCCAGAGGAGACGTCCATTCCTAAACAATGGCTCGATAAACAAGTTTCCGCGGCAAAAAATACGCAAGCAATAACAGAGCAAGTTTTGGGAACGATGTCTTCTATTCGGTCCGTGCAAAGTGGTTATAAAGAAGAGTTCATTTGAGAATTGGCAGTGGAGTTCCGGAGTTCCAAGTGAACAGTTAATCGAGAGTTGGGCTATGCGGGGGAGGCTGAGAAGATGACGCTGTGAGTTCAGGTGTGGAGTGTTAAGCTGCTGGCAACGGCGTGACCACGGG